TCCCAGAATTCCCCAGCCAGCAATTCTGGGAGTTGAAGTCCACCCATCTTAAAGTTGCCAAGGTTGAGGAACCCTGATCTAAAGGATAAGATGGAATTTTCTAACAATTCCATTTGTATGATGGTTCTGCTTCCCAGTTTTATGTATAATGAGATTATCTATCTACATAGTTACGTGGTTCATATAATACTGATGAGACCTTCTTTTTTTATGAAGTCATTATCATCAGAAGTTTGTGCTTTTTTTCCAGTCATGTATAGGCCAGTGAACGTTGGTCTTTTCCTACTCATCAAAAAGGCATTGTATGTTAATGACCATCATGACTATTTCAGGCAATTAATTCCATAAACTAATTATGCAGTGTGAATTATGCTTCTGTTTCCAGAGTAATTGTGGATGGAAATATTCTCCTTTACTTGATGAAAATGCAAAGACACATCCTTTAATAAGACCTTTCAAAACCTTGACTGAAAAGGTAATGAAGATAAATTTAAATGTTTTTCCCAGGCAAATGCAGCATACAGTTTACATTAATAGATGTAATTGATTTTGTCAATGGAAGTAAAAATCCAAAATGTAAAATGGCTAATTGGCTAAAATATAAATGAAGATGTAATTTTTGTGTTTATTTTTTAAACCTAGTCAGTGTGCTTTCCAAACATAGACATACATACATATGCTTGTATATCTTTAGTAGGTATGACCATTACCAGTGAAATTTATTTGGTTCACATTTTAATATGAAGTGACTTAATTCATATTCTTGGAATTGGAATACAATTAACTTCCAGTTTTCACATTTCCCTTGAATTTTGCAATGCTATTTTTCAAATCTATAATACATACAAAATGTATATATTAATTAATTAATTAATTAAAGTAAATAATATTTTAAAAATGTATGTATCAGATATGAAATATCTTGTGAAGATCCATATGCTAGAAGGAAATACATATAAAACATGTTGGTATTTTTGTGCTTATGAAAATATAGAGGCGAATATGTGTAGCTCAGGGTTGAACTGTGGAGTCCCTGGGGTTCTCTGAGCTTGGATAAACAGCATCTACACACTACTCAAAAGAGACAGTAGAAAAGAAAACAAAAGACCAGAACATCTCCTCACCAGCAATCATCACCCAGATAAGCAGAAGTTATCACCAGGCACACAATCAAGCAGAGAGGCGAATATGTGTAGCTCAGGGTTGAACTGTGGAGTCCCTGGGGTTCTCTGAGCTTGGATAAACAGCATCTACACACTACTCAAAAGAGACAGTAGAAAAGAAAACAAAAGACCAGAACATCTCCTCACCAGCAATCATCACCCAGATAAGCAGAAGTTATCACCAGGCACACAATCAAGCAGGGAACAATACCCTAATCAAGGAACTGCCAGAGGAACAAAACAAACCCCCCACCCCCACCAACACTGGAAGGGCAGGCCACTGTATATAAATAGAGAGCAAATCCCATCCCACTGTAGCACTGAAGATGTTACCTAGCCGGGTAATGAAACGTTTGCAAGAAAAGAACCAAGCTCAGAGAGCCCCAAGGACTCCACAGTTATAAAAATATGTATAAAATGTATACAAAGTTTTGTGCAGAGTTTTAAAGAAAAAGAATCTAGGCTTGAAAGAATGTTATACAAAAGAAAATAACTTTTTCATTTCCCAAGATGATCAGTAGGAGGTATGGGAATTGATATCTCTAAATCAGCATTGAGATTAAGTTGAACTGAGCAGCTGTCAAAATGTTTCAGTGAGTCTTCACTGACCTTTGGTTCATGTAACACAATATTTATATATATAAATATCAGTATATGAGCTCAAATCTGCGTGTGTATTACTGGGGGAAAATATTTTAGATTTTTTCCTATGTGAAACACAAGATTTATATAATTCTTCTAAAGGAAAAGGAAATCTATCGATGGCCTGCCAGAGAATCTATGAAAACCATGTTAGCAATGGGATGGAGTCTAGAAAGGACCAAGGAAGGAGAAACTATGACACAACAACGCGAAAATGAAAAGCTCCGCAGCATATCACAATCTAGCCAGGTAAGATAAAAACAAAGTGAAATTTAAGATCCCCTGTTTCTTCATGACTAAGGGACTTCTGATTTCCTTTTTTTTTAAAAAACTTTTTTGGCAGTGGGGGAAGTTTTATTATCTAGTCTTTTGATGGTCCAAAATGTGTTAAATTCATAGTCCTTCATGCCTAGAAAAAAATTACAATTTCAGTTGACCTAAAGCAGGTAGTTGGGTGAACTTTTATCACATTTTGCAGGATTTAGAACAGCAAGAATCCATTTGTGGTAGTTTAATGAGTTCCTGTGAATCTGAATTTGCTGGGATCATTGTTCACCTCAACGACAATTATTAAAAGAATGTTAATTACTTAGAATGATATTACTGTTCCCTCTGTGTGGTGATGCTTTCGTTGTAAACTGACAAAGACCAAAGGTTTTGTTAAGGAAGAACCACACTTCTTCAGAGAAGTGTATTAGTAGAAGTTTTTTTACCTTCATCATTTTCCTTCATGAGTTTGTCTTTATACAGTCAGGATAGTACAGAACAAGCAACTAGAGGAAGGAACCTCTGTTTATTAGAGATGGAGAATCTGTGGCCTACCAGATGTTCCTAAACAATTACTCTCACCATCTCTTTCTACTGATTATGCATCAGCTCAGCCAGGTGTATCCCTTTGATATATTTAGTGAATATCTAGAGATGTGCAAAGTTTCAGAAGAAAGCAATGCTGGTTACTGCAACTGTGTTCTAAACCTCTCTTGGATCTTTATGATAAGTACTCTGGGTGTAGAATTCCATTTTAGGAGAGCACCTACAAAAGAGAAGTGACTTGCGGGAGCTGGCACATAATTCCCATGAAGCTGGAATCCCTGCAATTCACATTTCCAGTTCTTCATCTCACCAGATTTCTTTTCTAAAATAACTTCTTAAATCTAATCAACACTCCTTTACCTACTGTTACAAAGTCAGACATGGAATTAGCAGAAATCAAATGATCAGGCCTTACCTAACCCCATCTTGCTTTACTATACATACATTTACCATGGGAGGATTCAGAGTAGCAAAATATAGCGCTGGGGACAATCTTTTTCTCTCAGTGACACAGAAGTCAAACTATTAGCAACTATGAAAAATTGAGCATATCAAACTCAGGTCAGGTATAATATGTTAGCTGTTCTATGCAATCATTAAACCTCATTAAAGGAAACTGGGGCTCCCAAAAACATTGTTCCTGCACAATGTTCAAAGCTCTGACCTGATAAGGATAAGTAATCCTATATTTTTTCTATAAGTGTCTAACCCAAATATATTCACTGAGGTTACAGAATCAGTATACAATAGCTCAGGACAGGACTTTGTCAAGACTTCATCTCTACAGCTTGTTTATTTATGCAGTGTATAATTTTGACCATTTCCATATGTCACTGAAGGATGGTCAGGAAACTGGTTTCTGCAAGAATGTGAGAACTTTACTAATCTTATATTCCACTTGCAGCAATATCTTCATTCATACCTTGACATGAAATTGCAAATGTCTGCACATCCATATGCAAGGTTAGATCTTTTCACAGCTGAGTAGCACAGATGCAGTAAAGCAAACTATGCACTGTGTTTCAGCAAAAGGAAAATTGTTTCTTTAAATGGAGATAATTAATTCAGGAACATTTGTTCACAGTAAATATTACATGATTTATTTATCAAAAATATTGAACCGAAGAGAAAACAGCTAATTTAATATACCAACCCTTAGCATATGGACTGGGGTACCACTTCTTCTAAAAACCCTACCACATGTAGAGAAAGACTGAAAACATTAAGCTTTTTTGGGTAATTTTGTAATAATTGCTATTAGATGTACAGAACCATTTAAATAAATTTAATTGTTTAATACTTGTTTTAGTATTGTATCCTGCTGGAGGTTAGTGACCATCAATGTTGTTTGTTCTTCTAATACTACTGCCAAAACAAGGACATTATATTTTTGCCAAACATTGTACATAGATTTTTCCAGTGAAGATATGCATCCCGTTCCATTGCTGTTTCCCTTTAATCTTTTCTTGTATAATTAAAGAAATTGATATTTCTTTCTGCAAATTGTGTCCAAAATATTTCTTTCTTTTTTTTAATGGTATTCACAATTTTCATGTCTTTATCCATTCAGAGAAAACTATCTCATTTTATGCATGTTCAACTTACCTTCCATAAATCTACGGTTTAATGGCTTCTATTCTCCTGATTGTCATTTGAGTCATTGTCCATGCTTCTACACAATACAGAAGAACTGGCAAGGAATTCCGGGGGAGGCATGGTGAACAGAAGACGTCTCTGCGAAAGCGGAGCCGACGACCGTGGCAAAGACCAAAGAACCGGTGAGTAGACCGGTTCTTTGGAAACTCTCCACATAAGGAGAGGACAGGAGATCACCCACATGTGCTCTGGATGGCTGTTCCCCACAAGGAGACCACAGGACAGCAGTTTTCTGCAGGTTTGAGTGCCGGGAAACAAAGGGATCAGCCATCTTGCTCGCAACTGCGGTACAGCCTTTTAAAGGACACTAAGTTTGCAAGCCTCACTTCCTAATCACTTTCAGAAATTGCCTGTTAACCATCTTAAAGCTATTAGAGACCTTTGGAATGACAAGTTTGAAAAATTACTGGGTGAGTTTGGCTTCAACAATTTTGGAATTAACTATAAAAAGTAAATAGCTTCTTGTGGGAACCAGAATGATTTTGGCTATCTTGGTTCATAACAAAGATAAGCGACTTTATGATTTTAGAAACTGGACACTAGAGGGGATTAAAGATTCTGAATAGAAGGGGGGGGGGAAGCCTGTTTTTGGTACTGGTTAACTGGGATTACAAAATGACACAAAATGTCAAAACATTGGAAATATTAAAGGAGATTTTTGAAGAAAGGAGCCAGAAATTAGTAGCTACAATATCAACAGTGTCAGTAATGATGTCTGCTTCTGTGGATAGATTATGTCCAAAAGATGTTAATGAGCCATGACAGATGTGGATCAAATTTTGTCTGACAAGACAGAGAAAGTACCAAAAGTGGAACTACAAATGACAGCCCAAGAGAATGAATTGGAAAAGGACGCTTTACTGGACATACAAAAGAAACTGGCTGAAGTTTTAAAAATTGAAAGGGAAATACAAACGATAAACCAAGAGGATGACCTGGAAAATGCTTTTTCAATTGGATCTACAAAAGAAGCTTGTTAAACCCTTGAAGAAGTCTGTGTGATGGAATAAAGAAGAATTGAAGAGAAATCAAATCCTACAACAATATTTGATTGCAGATTAAGACTGTTAGAAGTAAAAGGAAGGAATATAAATTTGGCTTATTTGATCGAGGTTAAAATGGGACATTTTTTGCAAACTTCTGGCAATCTTTTACAGACTTTTTGCTGACACCAGCATTCAAAAGTTGATGTTTATGGATTTACTTATAGATAAGGGATGGGATATGGGATGAAGAGATATCTGTTTGTAACCTTATAGGGATGGAAGAGTTACTAAATTTGTCTATACTTGTCGTAATGAAGGTTGGAAGTCACTTCTTTATATATTTTTCTTTTTCTTTACCATTTTATTTCTTTTTCTTTTTCTTTTTGCACTTTTTATTCTTTCTTACTATTCTTTTTTCTTTCTTTAAGTTTAGTTTGTATTAGTTGTTACTACTGTAATCAAAATCCTTAAAAAATTATGTGCAGAAGAACTGGCAAGACATAACAGCATGCAATCTGCCAATGAAGTTCCAGTCTTAAGTCCTGGCAGCTAACAAGTTTACTTATTTTTTTAAAGCTAGTCTCCACTGCTCAAACCTGCTCCTTATTTCAATATGTATCTTGTCACTCAAATCATTATCATGTTTTGCCAAAGAACCTAGAAGGACATTGAACTATATAGCATGTAGTGTATGGAAACCGCTAAGGTGATGAAGTCCAAAACTCCTGTCATTGTCTGAAACATAATAAAGAGTAAGAACATTTCTTATTACTTTATTGTTTAAGATGAAATACAAAACTGTACATTCTAAGTGTCTTCCAGTTGCTATAATTCAACATGAAAGCCATCTCAAGAATGAACAGTAATGGGCAATTTGTATTCTTTTGACAACAGGGGAATAACTACAGCCCAGCACCACTTGACCTTTCAAATGTTGTACTCTCCAGAGAACTCCAGGTTTGTCTTAAATTGTTCAGAGAAATGGGATATAGTGAAAAAAGGGGGGGGGGAAACCAAAGTTGCCCATGTTTAATTATAATTGATATAATTATAATTAATTACAATATAACTGTATTCTCATATAATAAAAGGGGCATGGGAACTATGTGTGATGGAATGGTTTGGTGAAGTCCACGCTCGGGGAGATAAGCATTTCCTTAGCCCCCAGAAAGAGCGTGGGAAGGTGAAGAGGATGAGACTGGCACCTCCCTAAGGAATTCGCAGTGTTTGCTTGCTGGATTGGGAAGTTTAGATTAGGTCTGGCAAGATTGATGTCAGTTTCAGCCCAAAGACCTCCACGAGACAGTACAGATACAGTTCTATTGCATTTATTAGCTTTCACCTTCCAGACAGAATCTTCCCAGACTGAATCTAAACTTCCCAAGACAGCAAGCACTGCGAATTCCTTAGGGTGGTGCCAGTCTCATCCTCTTCACTTTCCCATGCTCTTTCTGGGGGCTAAGGAAATGCTTATCTCCCCGAGCGTGGCCTTCACCAA